AGGTTCCCTGCCCCATCCAAAGGAGGGTGCAGCTGAGCAGGGAGGAGAAGACCTGGCGCAGAGACCGCAGAGGAAGGGAGAGGATGAAGAGCCAGACGGAGACCTGAGGGCAGGGAGCAGGGACGGGTGAAGCTCTCGTTGCCCGGCCCGGACTGGGGGGCACAGACGTGGGCGAGGGACCGCGGGAGGGGACTGTGGCCGCGTTTATCTTGGTTTTGATTTGCTCTTTTCCCCCCAGACTTGTGTGGCCACTGCTGACCCCTTTCTGTGGGTCCACCTGTAGGTGTTTTATAGACTGTGGCAGCTCTCAGGCCGTGCTTGGGCCAGTCCCTTTGGGGTGGACTTTACCCACGAGGGGACGGGTCACTTGGGTGTCTGACTGAGAAACTATATTGTCTTTCCTGTACTGCACGCTGATTGTATTAAAGTTCCTTTCCACGAAAGTTCTTACGTGTCTCGTCTTGATGCGGTGGACAAATGAACCTACTTAGAGGGGACGGGTTTGGGGGGTCACCGCGCCCCTCTCCCTGCCCTGTGACAACACCACGCTGCGTGACACGGAAGTGGAGGCCCACGCGTCCCACCGAGAGAGGACCCGGACGCCAGTGGGGCCTGTCCTGCCGGCCTCTACACGCCGCCCCGAGGGTCTGTGTGACGCTGGCACAGCCCTCACCGAGCGCAGGTCAGACCCAGCGAGTCGCGCCCGACGGTCCCCACTCTGGCCACCGGGAGAAGCATCGAGAGGCAACCACGGGGACGTCACTGTCCCCCGACCCGGAAGCCCCCAGAGACCAAGCCTGCCCTGTTTCCTGCTCCCTGACTTTGTGCACAGGCCCCCGCCCCCCACAGAGACCCTAACACTGGGCCCTTCAGCCAACTAGAAGGACAGGAAGTGTGGGGGGCTGCTCGGCTCTCCCGCCTCCAGGGCCCTGCTCTGGGCTCCGGGTCGCCCCGACCCTCTCGGCTCCCCCAGGGACAGCCTTCTCACCCCCAGCGAGACCCCGCCATCCTCCAGCGCGCCCCAGCACAAACTTCTCACCCTCTCCCTCAAACATGGACTCACGACCGAAGACCAGGACTCGATGGCTCGAGCTTTGCCAGCTCAACGCCCCTCGGCAGACGCCCGGGGAAGAGGCCGCAGCAGTGAGGGTCGCGTAAGACCCGGGCCGCAGCGTGTCCGGGGCGCAGACACGGTACCCGGCACCCCACCCCGCCGCAAGGCCGCAACAGCCTCACCGCCGTGTCCAGTCGCGGGGTACACCAGCTTCAGGGCCGCCCACGGATACGGAGAAGGCCCCAGGCACCGCCTGCGCCGAGGGGCACTCCGCAGGCCCGGGCCTCCTCTCCGGGGCTGGGACGGGGCTGGCGCGGAGGGGTGGGACGAGCCCACAAAGTGCAGGGCGGTCATCCAAGGCCGGCGGGCACCCATGCTCACAGGTGCCCGGAGTGGAGCCCGCTCTCTGCCCCCACACACGTCCCCCCGCGCCCTCCCTCTCCGTCAACACTCAGGCCGACAAGCAATCCGTGGCTTTCATCTCGCACACTTCATCCACATGCTTACACACACGCTGATGAATCAGCTGCTAGGCCGTGCCCGCCTCAAGCCCAGGGAGCTGTCTGTTCAGCCTTTACTAAGGGCCGAGGCGCCGAGAGCGCTGAGCACAGGGGCAGACACGAAGTCTCGGAAGCAAGTCGCCCTTTAGGCGTGAGCCTGTCCAAGGGGCACTCACAACCGTTTTCCCCTTACTTCGGCAAGCTTGCTGAGCAAGCGCCCAACAGCAACTGACCGTGTGACAGCTATAAACCCTTCAACGCTGAGCAAAATACAAAAAAACAAGTATTTGAGGCCTCTGAAGAATGATCAGAAACAAGGAGATTCCGGGAGGGTATCAAGATTTGGAAGAAGAGAACGTCTGGGCGAGTTGGCTGATTTTGCAGTTTTTAGCTTAAGAAGCAGTGTTGAAGGCAAGCAGAGGCTCAAATGTGGGCAAGAATACGAGAAAAGGCAAGAACTAGAGTTGAGGAGCCTCAAGATTTAATGTACAAGGTGTGTTAAAATCTCGGCTCATCCCCAAATTGTGTGTGCCAGAAATAAATGCAAAAGTCCAAATGAAGGAAGAACTCAAACTCAAAAGACAAAGCTGCCATCTAAGTCCAAAAATATCGACCTTCCTCAAAGAAATATAATAGAAGCCAGAGTTTCACAATAGCCAGTACAACCCGAAATGATTCAGTCTACAAAACTGTAATGATAAGACTCATCACCAAGATAAAAGATTATTGATTGACCAAATCTAATATGACTAAGATTTCAGAATTAGAGGCTTATAAACAACTACACTACTACTTATGCTAGATAACATAAAGTAACACTTGACGTGAAAACGCAAACAAGAAAATCCAGAGAGATGAAAAGAAGTTTTAGGAATACATATCAATATATGCAGATAGTTATTTACAATGATCAGATCGGGATAGCAAAAAAATAAGAGAGGACACAGGACAGAATCAGTGAGTTTAAAATACAGAAGTGGAAATTATCCAGCCTGAGGAACAGGGGGAAAGAAAAAACTAATAAAGTGAGCACAGCCACAGGAACACTGTGAGAATGTCAAAAGGCAGACACGTGGAAGTGAAGTCTCAAAAGATGGTAAGAGAAAGGTCAGGAGGTATTTCAAGGAGCAATGGTTGAAATATTATGATGAAATGGACAATTCCCTAGAGAAACCCAAAGAGAAGCTCCACAGACAATGAAACAGAAAATGACTAGGCCGTGAGATCAAAGACACGTCCTCGTGGACCAACTCCAGGCCTGGGAGCCTGGCTTCACGGAGTCACCGCGTGTTCAGAAACAGCCACACGCACACGGGCTCGGGTTCTCCGGGAAAGAAGGCAGGCGCCTGCCACGGCTCAGCTCACAGCGCGGCAGTGTTGCGGGGTCTGGGGACGGGACTGTGAAAAACGGCAGGCCAGCAGCGGGCCCGGAGAGGTGCACTCATCCGGCAGCCTACACAGCGTCACGCGTCAGTCACGGCCAGGTGGGTTTTACTCCGGAATGCATAGCTGGCTCTTTTAGACAAGTTAATAAATGCAATCCACTCTACGAAGAGATGGAAGAGATGGCACCACCCGTGATCACTGCAAAAGATGCGGAAAAGGCAGCCAGCAAGATTCCTGTCACTGAGCAGCGCATGTCCCAGCCAAAGCCAAGCGAGCCTTCCCTAGCGAGTGAAGGCCATCCGCAAAAGCACCTGCGGTTACCACTTTAATGGTCAAACCCGCATGGCCCAGGAGCAGAGGAAGGACACCCAGGCTCCCTACCGTATCCCAGCGGTACACTGGGGCGGCTAACGGGCGCAAGGAGGCGAGCTGAGCAAATGGTATCTTAAGGACTCTGCAAAATGAAGTACTTGAGCTAACAAGCAACTATAGCAACGTGCCCCCAAACAGGTTAAAATGTACACTGCAAACTTTAAAGTAACTTTAAAATCCAATTTACACTCCTGTCAAAAAACATAAAACAGTGGAAGGATTTATACCCGAGACAAAACCTGTGCCCTGAATCCAGTAACAGGACAGACACCGGTGGCCAGGACTTGCACGAGCTCTCCCCCTCCACCCCCATCTCCCCATCCAAGGGGTCCAGGCTGTGGCCGCCAGAATCCCAGCAGTCCCAAAGTGACTCCTGAACTTACACGGAACAGCGAAAGCCTGCCGACTGCGAGAAGCCGTCCCAGCCAAGGGGAAATGACCTGACTGCACGTCTCACAACGAAAAGCTACAGCAAAGACCAGCATGAGGGGCCAGAGCGGTCAGCGGAGACCCGCGGGGGTTCAGAGGCACACCATGGCAGTCGGGGAGGAGCACCTTTGAGGAAGGATGCTATCCTGGAAAACAGTGAATGCTGGCCCTCTGGCTCACAGCAGATGCAGAAGTGACATGAGTGTGGCACGCATGCGAGCTTCCAGGAAAGGCTGCGGTGGTAGAGCGTGCAGAGGCCACACAGGAAACCAGTTAGTGGCAAAGATTTCCTAGTTGATACAAGGCAGTCATCACAAAAGCCACAGCCTGCTCTCTAGATGTAACAAAAAAAGTCCACTTATTATAAGACGGTTACGAGAATCACAAACAACCCACCAACCCATTCAGAAACGCGTCTAGCAAAAGATCCATCTCCAGCGCGCGTACGAAGTCCTGCAGCCCACTCCCTAGGTCGCCCGCGGACAAGGAGGCGAAGATCTGAAGGGACGCCTCGCAGCGGAAGCCAGGTCACTAGCCAGTAAGTACAAAGCGTGGACGGCCGCCGAGGGAAACCACAGCAGGAAGCCTCAGCGCCGGCTGGGACCCCGGTGCCAGGCGGGTCCCCACCCCACCCCACCGCGCCCCCGGAGACCTCTCTGGCAGAGGCAACGCACGGCGGTAGTTTCCAGGTATGCATGCAAGAAATGAAAACAGGCCTTCACAAAGCAGCCTGTCCGGAAACCGTCACAGCAGTTTAGTTTGTAGGGAGCTGAAATGAAAACCACCAGGCAAATGGACACCAGCCTGGCCAGCTCTCGGGACGGGCGGAGGGCGGGCACAACCAGCCTGCAGCAAAGTCACGTCGGGGGAAGGAGGAGGGAGCCTGCAGAGCAGAGGCAGGCCCCGCACTCAGGTGTTGGGGCCGAGTCAGAGCTTCAAAGCCCGGCGGTGACTGTGCTCAGTGGCAAAAAGTCGTGCTGGCCGTGAGGGATCAGTGCGGTTTTTCTAGAATAGGTAACAGTTTGAACAACCCCGCTCTGACTGGGGTCACCTACTCAGTCCTTAACAAGCCAGCGTCACCCACACACAAAGGAACTAGCGGGGGGAGAAGGGAATCCTGGTGCGGGGTCCCCGGGGCCACAGGCCGCACGCAGCTCGGGGACGCCTGGGTGAGCCAGGGTGCGGAGGGGCCCGGAGGCCTTCTGGGGAGCCAGCCCCAGGCAGCACCCCACACCGCAGAGCGCGGGGCCCGCGCTTACCTTGGGGAACTGCTTCACGGGGATCAGCACCTTCTGCCCCAGCTTCATGTTCTTGTTGATCACCACGTCAATGTACTTCTCCTCATCCTTGCCTTCTCCTTTTTGGAACTTTTCTATTTCTGTGGAGGAAAAACAAATAACCGTGAGGCGGACGGCTTGGCTCTCCAGAGGCTGGGAGTTCTAGCTGGCTCTCCTGCGAGACAAAGCCAAGCAGATACACAGACTGCTCAGTGGCCGCGACTCAGTCCTCATCCCGCCGCGGGAGCCGGCCCCAGGCTCTGCAAGTCAGATCCCAGTGGCCAGTGCAGAGGCCCCAGTAGGAAAGCGAGTCCTGGGGCTTCTGGGACCCCGGGAAAGACTGGCCAGCAGAAGCCAGCAGGGCTCCAGGCTCAGTGCCGAAAGCTCCCTTCAGGGCCCGCCTTCCGCCCCCCCTTCCCCTCTGCCCCGCCCAGGGGGAGGTGGGGGGCACCTGAGACCCCCACCTCCCCAGGCATGTCCACCCTGAGTGAGACAGCCGACAGGGAGGGCAGGTTTCCGCTCTTCCAGACACAGCCGCTGCCGCAGAGAAGCAGGAGGCTCTCCCCACAGAGCACAGGCGTCTAGTCCGCAAAAGCCGTCTCAAAAGCCGTCTCCGCATCCAGCACACCTCCCGCCCGCCCTTAGGTCGTCAGAGGCGCGGACAAGTATCACCGGGCGCTGGGAAGCCAGGGGCGCGCGGAGGGACCCGCAGAGGGGCCGCCGGCCAGGCGCAGTTGCGGTGCGCACGGGTCTGGGGCGCGCACGGGTCTGGGGCGCGCACGGGTCTGGGGCGCGCACGGGTCTGGGGCGCGCACGCCTCGGCTCGCTGTTTGAATTTAACGCGTCACCTGCAGGATATAATCCTTGCAAAGGGCAGAGGGAGGTTCACAAAGTTTAAGTTGCTAATGCACGGCCAGGAAGGCGCCCCCCGACGCAGCCGGGCCTCCGGTGGTGCCAGGCAGTCTCACCCTTCCCCATGTCCCTCAGCTGGGACAGCCGGTCCTCTCAGGATGAGCGCAGGAAGCTGCTGCCCGAGCGGGAGGGCGCGCCAGGCGCGGCCCCATGCAGAGTCCCCTCTGACCCTCATCTTGACCTCACGCTGAACCCCACCTGCCCCTGTCCTGTGCAGTGGGGTCCCCGCCTGGGGGCAGTGCCCCGTCAGGGCAGGCGGCATGCGTGGGCCTCACCTCGTGAGCAAAGGGCACACAGCACGGTCAGCCCAGGCCTGTCCTCTTCAGCCTCAGCTCCACAGAGCTCGGAACCCTGGAGACGCTGAGCCAGCAGGCTTTACCCAGACCCCAGCAGCAAGGCCCTTTCAAGGCCCCTGAGCATATGCTAGCGAGGCTGCCCTCCGAGGCAGCAGGTTGCCAGAGGAACCAACCGAGTGAGCAGAGTGGACACCGGGCACCCCAGGCTGCCCCCTCTGGGACGCAGGGAGAACCTAGAAATGGCGCTTGGCCCCAGCTGTTTATCCTTCCTTCACCCGCCGAGCGGTGGGTGCTGCTGAATCTGTACAGATGCTACTGAGGTGCGTGTCACGCAGTGTTTCGCCCTCCTTTGCTTCCAGGTATTTTATGGTTTCGGGTCTCATGTCTAGGTCTTTATTCCACTTCGAGTTGGTTTTCGTGCGCGGTGCGAGGTGGTCATCTAGCTTCGTCTTCTTGCATGTAGCGGCCCAGTTTTCCCAGCACCATGTGTTGAGCAAACCTTCTTTGTTCCATTGCATCCTCTTTGCTCAGCTGCCCAGAGACCTGTGGGCCTCTCTCTGGGTTTTCTGTTCGAGTCCACTGGTCTGTGTGTCTGTTCCTGTTCCAGCGCACTACAGTTCTGTCATCTACGGCCAAGCAGCCGTGTGCACGTGAAGAGCTGCGTGAACCCCTCCCCGGCAGCACCAGGGGAGCGGCGGGGCTGGTGAGCACGTGGCCGCTGCAGGGCGGTGCCCCAGGGGCCGACGCTACAGGCCGCACCCTGCCCGCCCGGCTCCCGCCCACGGGCTGGATGATAAACCATGACAGTCGGTGAAGGGGCTTCCAGGTTCTG